ACCAGCTACCCAGACGGCCACCAGTGAGGACAGCAACAGCCCCACCTCTCTACCATGGCTGTGGTGACAGGGCGCTCAGAGAACAGACACACGAAGGCACCACATACGTCATCACTGGGCTGGTTCATTATCTTTCGTCTTTAAGTTGGCCTCTAGTTTCTATAAACTCATCTACCACTGTCAATTTGAATATATCATTTCCCAAACTGTAGCAGAGAGAAATTCTTAACAAATTAATCAATCTGGATGCAAGTCTCTTTAGAGGGCTGGGGATGGGGAGGAAACAGAGGACTAAAGAATGTACCAAGCCCTCAGAGAAACCCAAAGCAGAAACATCTAGGATTTTTTATTTGGGGGTTTTGGGGGGTTATTTTGGGGGGGCAATTTTGAGACAGTCTCACTCTGTCACCCAGGCTAGAGTGCAGTGGTGTCATCACAGCTCACTGCAACCTCAAACTCCCAGGCTCAAGCAATCCTCCTACCCCGGACTCCTGGGACTACAAGCACATGCCTAATTTTTTTATTTTTAGCAGAGACGAGGTCTCACTCTTGCTCAGGCTCGTCTCAAACTCCTGGCCTCAAGTGATCTTCCTGCCTCGCCCTCCCAAAGTGCTAGGATGACAGGCATGAGCCACCGTGCCTGGCCTAGGATGTTTTAAAATAGGTGCTGACCTGTGCTCTGGGTAGGGATTCAGACGATCTGACAGGGATGGGCCAAATGTGACAAGGAAGTAGAGCAGCCCCACACCCAAGCACCCTTGACAAAATGACAGCTTTTATTTGCTTGGGTAAAGGAGTGATGTGGCTTGGCCTCCGTTAGATGCCAAACACTGATAAAGTATTCAACTCAAATGGCTTCTTAGATGTGGCCAACAAAAGCACAAAAAGGCCCCACCGCTTATTGACATTCCCATTAACTGGGTACTTCTAAAGAACAGGCCAGGATGGTCTGAACACAGAAACTCTCAGTGAAAGTTAGTTCTCATCTGCTGTGCAGCTGGGTGAGGAACAGTGGAGATCCGGGCTGGGCATATGGTCCGTGGTGCTGCATTCCCATTCATCAGACTGGCTAAAATCACCCACTTGAACATCCACAGGTCTCCAACACAGTGCCAAATGGTAAGGTCAACAGGACCCCACATTCTAATCCTCACCCCTTTGACCAAAGCCCCTGGTCAATCCATCTTTTCAGCCCACCCTGATTCCCACCTAACCCAGGTGAATCCCACTCCCACATCGGGCACTGCCAAAGGGTTGGGAATTCTGTCTCCCCAGCATTTCAGTGTCTCCATCTATCTTGATTTCATCATTTGCTCCCAGCTTCTTCTATCCTGCCCAGTTCTTTCCCTCCCTTTACCACCCTCAGCTCTTTCGTGACCATAAAACTAACTGCCAGCATCGGCCTCACCTAGCGGCCTCCCAAACCAGAGACCTAGCAAGAAATGGCCACCTCATGGTCTTTTGTTGTAGGAGGGGCACTCTGAGGACAGATACCATGGTGCAACTTGAGTTTTTATCTTTTTAAGTTGGGTCTGTGATTAGCTACCCACCGCCACTTTGTATCGGAAATAATTTTTTAAAATAAAGAAAACCCACGAGGTTTAGCTGTCTGTGAGAGAGAGCAATTTGGATTTCAGCAGGTCCTCCTGTTGCTTCTTCCCAATCAGCCCATCATGCTGCAATACACTAGCTTCCTTTCGCCCCTTAGCGACTGGTCTGACAAGCATGGTAAAGTATTAGGTTGGTGCAAAAGTAATTGCGGTTTCGGACCGTGAATTTTAAATCATCATAACTAGGCTCGGACACATCTTTATTGATCAAAATAGGAGCCATTACAATCAACACATTTTTGCCAACCAGAAATAAGTTTGTTTGTTATTCCTGTAGCATAAAAATCTGTGCTTTGGGATTTTACGAACTCTTGGAAAGCATTTCCTGCTGGTTGTGGAAACGTTTTCCCTGCAAAAAGTTGTCCAGATGCCGAAGACGTGGCAGTTGGTTGGCGAGAGGTCAGGTAAATATGGCGGATGAGGCAAAACTTTGCAGCCCGGTTCGTTCAACTTTTGAAGCTTTCGTGGTGCAATGTGCGGTCGGATGTTATTGTGGAGAAGAACTGGGCCCTTTCTGTCGACTGATGCCGGCTGCAGGCACTGACTATAGTTTTCGGTGCATCTCATCTATTTGCTGAGCATACTTCTCAGATACAATGGTTTCGCCGGGATTCCGAAAGCTGTAGTGGATCAGACCAGCAGCAGACCACCAAACAGTGACCATGACATTTTTCTGGTGCAAGTTTGGCTTTGGGAAGTGCTTTGGAGCTTCTTGGTCCAACCGCTGAGCTGGTCATCGCCAGTTGTCATATAAAATCCACTTTTGTCACATGTCACAATCCAATCGAGAAATGGTTCATTGTTCTTGTGTACGAAACACTTTAAAACGATGATTTTTTTTGATTTTTGGTCAGCTCATTAGGCACTCACTTACCAAGCTTTTTCGCCTGTCCAATTTGCTTCAAATGCAGAATGACCGTAGAACGGTCAACACTGAGTTCTTAGGCAACTTCTTGTGTAGTTGAAAGAGGATCAGCTTCCATGATTGCTCTCAATTGGTCATTGTCAAGTTCCGACGGCCAGCCACTGTGTTCTTCATTTTCAAGGCTCTTCTCTACCTTGCAAAACTTCTTGAACCACCACTGCACTGTGTTGTTGATGCTGCGAGTTGCCTCTGCTGCTTCACAACCCCTTTTGAAGTCAAATAAGAAAATAGCTCGAATTTGCTTTTTGTCTAACATCATTTCCATAGTCTAAAATAAATATAAAATAAACAGCAAGTAATAAGTCATTAGCAAAAAAACAAAGTGACAAATGTGCATTCAAATGATGTATAACATAATCACATTTATTTAAGAATGCATTCCAACATCAAAGGGCAAATTTCAATAATGCTAAAACCACAATTACTTTTGCGCCAACCTAAATAACGTGATGGTGTCTGTGCAGAATGTAGTTGAAAAGCGCTGGAACACAGAGGCAGGCCCTGTTGATGACAGGAAGGCAAACACAGTGATTCTGCCATGACCCCCCAAAAGTCCACAGGTGTATCTGCCTTAAAAACTCGCTAGTCCCATTGAGCAACTGCTGCTGTAACTCAGAGTAGTCTGTCAGCAGGAAGGAGCAGACAGACCAAGACAGAAAACCAAGCCCCCAAATGCTGGAATCTCTCTCCTCAAACTACCCCACTGAGTAACTGGACTGACTATGAGCTAAGCTAAGATCAAGGCAGAGACCGCTGGAGCCGAATGGTTTCTAAGATATACCAGCAACCAGCAAAGGATGACTTCTGCCCAAGGAATGGTATTGTTTCTCTTGGGAATTTGAGAAGGGGCTGGAAGCGTGCTCTTTAAATAAATATTACATTTGTCCTTCTTTTTGGAACCATTACCGCTATTGCCAGATGTTTTAGCTCCAGAAGCAGCTGTGCCAAATAGAGGGCTGGAACCCCACCAGACACTTCCATCTTTGCTGCAGACAGGAGCACTGCCTGGCCTCTACGTACCACCCTGAGTCCAAAGCAACACGGCCCTTCTCCTAATACTGCGAAGTAGAAAAATAAATAAATAAATAAATAAAGCAACGTGGCCCCTTAGTTCTGGATCTGAATTCTGTATGGGCGGATCTGGGTTCAAATGTCAGCTGCACATAGTAAGATTGGGGTGTGTGTGGTAGGCAGAATTCTAAGTTTTCCCAACCCCTGGCCATTCAAACACAAATCTAGGTTCTGCAGTGATCAGCTGACCTTAAGATAGGGAGATTATCCAGGTGGGCTATTATGATATGAGTCATTTAAAAGCAATGTTTTCTCCAGCCTGCATCACAAGAGGAAGTCAGATTCGAAGCACCAGGATTCCAGGCACCACTGCTGGCTTAAGACAGATGGAACCAAGCGCACAGGAATCAGGGCAGTGTCTGTAAGCTGAGAGTTGTCCACCACTGACAGAGAGCAAGGAAACAGTGACTTCAGTCCTATATTCTGAATTCTGCCAACAACCTGAATGAGCTAGAAGCATGTTCTTTCTTTCCCAGAGCCTTCAGGTGAGAGCCCAGCCCAGCTGACATCTTGAAATCAGCCTTGTGAGACTAAGCAGAGAACCCAACCAAGCCTGCCTGGATGTTTGACCTACAGAACTGTGAAATGATAACTGGATGTTGTTTTAAGCTGCTAAGTTTGTGGGCATTTGTTATACCGTGACAGAACACCAATACAGCATGTAACACTCTCAGCAAGTGCCTCAGTTCAGAATGTCCTGGCATTCCTCAGTGTTAGCCCTCTACCTCCACATCCTCCCACACCCCATCATCAGAGCGCAGCCTTTCTCTAACCCCTTTTCACGGAAAAATAAAAGGCTACCAAGAGGGACTGGTGAGGCAAAGACCTTTGCTTACTTCAAAAGCCCACCCTAGGTGGAGGATAACATTTGGAATCCTAGCAGAAAGAATTAGATCTTTCCCTTTCTACCAACTCCAACCCCATACACACACCAAATGTAGACTCTATTAGGTGGCAGGGGAGATCTGTCACAGGTCCTGAGTATTCACACACACTCTTGCTGGATGGGAATACCCTTTACACCTTTACCTGGGTCCTTTCTCAGACAGTGTTTGCAGCAAGCAATCTTGGGGGATGGAGTAACAACACCTCCATGTGGAAAAAAGAGCAGGCCTGCACAAAAGAGGTGGAGTCCCCAAGCATACATGTTTCTTGGCTGTGATGCAAACCCATTATGTGCATGGCATCCACTTGGGCCCCTCTACGTCCACTGTGGGATGTGGGGGTTAGGGGAAACCAATATAAACAAAAAGCTTATGCTGCTTACGATGCTGAGTAATAAAATTTCTTTGTCTCTGACCCAAGACTCTCATGTCTTCTGCTAGCATCAACAAAACAGTAATAATCTAATTTATTAACTTGTAAGTAGCGTAAAATCCCAGACCTTGACTGTATTACATTTAGATCTTAACATCAGGAGATCTAATGTCTTTACATTATAAATTTCAAAGGAACAAAATACCCTTTTTGAATTTTCTTATGGAGATAAAATTTACATTATAGGGTTATTGTAAGAATAAAACAAAATGTATAGCACATCTGGGCTGCAGAAAACACCCAGAACTTTAGTTGGACTCCTGTCCTCTATAGCTACCCAGCCCTCACATAAGCATACAATGAACCAGATAAGGATCAGTATCTGTGTCCATAATAGCAATCCATTCAGAAGAGATCAAATAGTCTAATATACCAATTTCTGACCTTTGCACAGCACTGCACAACTCATAAAATAACTTCCACATATATTATCTCATTTAATCCCTACAATAGAAACCGAGGCTCAAAGAGGTTAAGTCCTTCCAGAAAGAACAGTAACCACAGGTTACTCCACAGGTCTGGAAAATGACCAGATGACATAAGCCCAGCCATGTGGGCTGAGGAAGCATGGCTGAACGCAGCTGCAACACTGTTCTAGCTGGACAACCATGTCCCGAAGGCACACTCTTCCTCCAGGTAAGCCGAGGGAACTTACGGTGACTGGGTCTCCTGAGGAATATCAATGCCACTGGAGAAATGGCAGGAAACCACATGATACAGAGATATCTTTTATTTACATAGAGATTTTTTTTTAAACAGAAAATGAAGCAAGTCTTTAATATAAGTAGCTGTCCTGTCCTGGAAGAATACATTTGGACTTGGTCCCTTTGCTGTCCTTGGCAGTCTCTGCTTTGTCCGTAGGCACTGGGGCCTTATCTTGTTACAGTTATCACTTGAGCGTCTTGCTAAGGTTGGAGAAGCCAATGCCAACACAGGTCATCAGTACTTTATCCCCGCCCTTGAGTTCTTCACCACATGGCTTGGTTTCAATTTTAAACATAATCTGGAAAAAGCTCTTCAAATGCCGCAAAAATTCTATCCTAAAAAAAAGAAAACAAAAGGAATTCATTTCTTAAAAAATTTCTCCTCCCCCCACCTAGAATCCAAGATTTTAATTTACCAGACCAAGAGGAAGGACTGAAATTAAAACATCTCACCAAATCTGATTAAACAGTACTTACTTCCAGCCTACCAGTTTCCAAAGGAGATTTAGATAGCTTGCAGAGATGCATGCAATATAGCAAGATAAACAGGAAAAAAAAAAGGTTAATGACACATAAGTCATTTGGTCCTACATACCCATTAGGGAGTGGACATAAATATGGTGATAATTTTTTTTTTAAAGAGACGGGGTCTCGCTAGGTTGCCCAGGTTGGACTCCTACTCCTGAGCTCAAGCTATCCTCCCACCTCAGCCTCCCAAGTAGCTGGGACTACAGTACGGGCACGTGCCACTACACCTGGCTTTTGAGTGACCCATGCAAAGACAGAACTTCCAACCAAAAAAAACAAATAAAAATCCTTCCCTTGTGACGATTTCAATTTAGTGTTGTGGACAAGATAAATAAGTTAAATATTCTTGAAAAGTACTATGGAAATCTAAGAAAAGCAAACAACACAGATGGGGAAGAACTGTGGTATTAACAATATTTGTGCCTATTTGGCAGGAGGCAATATTACATAAAGTGGCCATGGAAAAGCTCACAGTAAACACGGCAAGGAGTTTCATAGGGCTATTTCTTATAATCCCCCTTTAACACAGAGTGATGGCATTGCCCCAAGAATACCTTGTAAAGAGCAATTCTATGGATGGACCACGGTGCAGGTATACAGGTTTCCAATGATCTGCCCCAGCAGACCCAGCAACCCCCCAGCTAGCCTGACCAAAACACTCACCTGCAGTGTTCGCTAAATACACAGGTTCCTGAGGTTCTGAACAGCTTACAACACGTAGGAAGAAGTACTCATGTGGAAAAGCTCAGAATCATATGCCACATGCAAGCTGCCCCTCCCCATCCCCTACTAAGCCAAGCCCTGTGCTCCCCAGCGCATAGAGGCCAGAAATATATTAACAAGCATCCCTGGCAATTCTCATCAGGCAAGTTTGGGAAATACTGGTTCAGTGAAGAATGATGGTCTGCACACCTGCAATGAAGTATTACAAAAACCTTATATTGTGCTGTCTCCCAATCAAACCAGCCAAACTCCCTACCCTGGCCAGATGGTTCTCAACCTCAACTGCACACCTGAGAAGCTTCAAAAATACTGATCCTAGACATGCAGATCTATGGAATAGAATTGAGAGTCAAGAAATAAACCCACACATTTATGGTCAACTGAAATCTGATGGGGAAAGAATAATCTTTTCAACAAATGGTGCTGGAACAACTGGATATCCACATGCAAAAGAATGAAGTTGGACCCCTTCCTCACATCATACACAAAAATTAACTCAGAAAAGGTCAAAGGCTTAACTCTAGAGCTAAAAACTATAAAATTCATAGGTGAACATACTGGAGTAAATCTTCATTACCTGGGGCTACGTAACAGTTTCTTAACCATTTCTTAAATACGACACCAAAAGCACAGCAATAAAGAGGAAAAAAAAGATAAATTAGATTCTATCAAAATTAAAATCTTTAGTGCATCAAAGGACACTAGCAAGAAAGTGAAAAGACAACCTACAGGATGGGAGAAAATATTTGCAAGTCATACATCTGACAAAGGTCTGGTATTTAAAATATATAAAGAAATTTACAACTCAGTAATAATAACAATAAACTCAATTCAAAGATGTGAGAGAGACCTAAATAGACATTTCCTCAAAGAAGACACACAAATATCCAATAAGCACATAAAAAGATGTTCATTATTAGTTATTAGAAAAATGAAAATCGAAACCACTATGAGATACCACTTCATACCCAATAGGATAGTTATAACAAAAAGACAGACAATAACAAAACTGTGGGTAAGGATGCAGAGAAATTAGAACCCTCATACACTGCTGGTGAGAATGTAAAATGGTACAGCCACTATGGAAAACACTCTGGAAGTTCCTCGAAATGTTAAACAAGGAGTTACCATTTGACGTAGTAATTCTACTCGCACGTTTACATGCAAGAGAAATGAAAACATAAACCCACACAAAAACCTGTATCCAAATGTTCATAGAAACAACCCAACTGTCCATCAATTGATGGACAGATAAATAAAATGTGGTATATCCATCCAGTGGAATATTATTCAACCATAAAAAAGGAATGAAGTACTGATACAACATGGACGAACCTTGAAAACATTACGCTAAGTCAAAGAAGCCAGTTGCAAAGGACCACACATTGCATGTTTCTCATTACAGTATATGAAATAGCCACAATAGGCAAATCTATTACAGAGACAGAAAGTAGATTAGTAGTTGCCTGGGGCTACGGATAGTGGGGCAAATAGGGAACAACTGCAAATGGTCACAAGATTTTGTTCTGAGGTGATGAAAATGTTCTAAAATCAGATTGTGGCTGTGTTTATACAACTCTGTGAATATGCTAAAAACTATACACTTTAAATGGGTAAACTGTGTGGTATGTGACTTATATCTCAATAAAACTTTAAAATAACTAAATACATATTTGTGACACTAAGAAACAATACTGATCCTGGTTCTCACCCCTACTCCATGCATACCAAACTACACATAAAGCCTACTTCCATGAATTTTCCACCCCTGGCAGTAGCCTGTCCTGAGCACTGATCTACTCAAAGGAGGGAAAAGGCAATGAGGAGAAAAGGGGGCATGAACAATTCCTTACCCTGTCTGGCTGAAAGGACCAGCACATCAGGGGCCAAGAGATGAAATGGTTACTACCCTAGAGAGCAGGAGTTCTGGTCAGTGCTGCATGCTCACAGAAAAATCTCCCAATTCTTAGCTTTCCCCTCCACCGAGGAACGTGCAACTT